ACCAAATTCGACATGATCTTGGGCATGTCATGGCTGCGAAGCGAGGACCATCCGGTGAACTTCTACCTCCGCACCGTTCACATTCGTGATCGGAACGGAGTACTAGTCCCATGCACGGTAGCTCCTCCTCACCCTTCAGTCAGCTGTCACGTGGTATCCGCCACAAGCATGCGAGCTTCCATCATTAGAGACGATATCGTGGAGATGGGGGTGTGTTTTCTCCATGCCCTCCTGCCCCAAGACGCGTCATCGACGGACTCATCTTCGGATCCACGCATCACCGAACTTCTCGACGCCTACAGCGACGTGTTCGAAGGCCCGCACGTAATAGTCTTGGATCGACCCATCCGCCACGAGATCATCCTCCAGGACGGGGCCGTACCTCCACGCGGTTGCATCTACCGAATGAGCGAGGAAGAGTTAAGTGTGCTTCGGGCACAACTTGACGACCTTTTGGAGAAAGGCTGGATTCGGCCTAGCTCATCATCATACGGTGCTCCTGTTCTCTTCGTCCGGAAGACGAACAAGGATTTGCGGTTGTGCATCGATTATCGCAAGCTCAACGCGTGGACGATCAGAAACGTTGGCCCTCTCCCACGCATCGACGATCTTCTCGAGCGACTAGGCGGCGCCAAGTTCTGCTCCAAGCTCGATCTCAAGTCGGGATATCACCAACTCGAGATCTGGCAGAAGGATCGCTACAAGACCGCGTTTAAGACACGATATGGGCATTTCAAATGGCTGGTTATGCCATTTGGCCTTACGAATGCCCCGGCCAGTTTCCAAGCGGCTATGACAACGGAGTTCCAACACATGCTGGATCGATACGTACTTATCCACCTCGACGACATCCTGGTGTACAGCCGGAGTTTCGAAGGAGCATGTGGAACACATGTGTACCGTTTTGGAGCGGCTACGACAAGCCAAGTACAAAGTCAACCGCGACAAGTGCAAATTCGCGCGACAGTAGCTGGAGTACTTGGGACATTACGTGACGCCGCAAGGCATCCGTCCGCTTGCGGACAAGATCGAGGCCCTACGAGTATGGCCCGAGCCCACCAACACCACGGACGTTCGTTCATTCATGGGATTGGTGGGCTATTATCAACGATTCATCACCGGATATTCCAGGATTGTTGCACCTATGACGAGGTTACAGTCGCCAAAGGTGCCATTCTTATTCGATGATGACGCACGCCGGTCATTCCAAGCACTTAAGACGGCYATGCTCATGGCACCCGTCCTTAGCATCTATGACCCCAC